TTTTTCTTTCCCACCGGTTGAGGTTTACAGCTTTGGCTCTCATGTTTAATGGAAACTTGCATTCTTGGAAGTGGCAGGCGTTTATGTTTTTTTTTTTCCCCTGAAGTCTTAGAGTTTGTAATAGGAAGAATAAACAGTACGTCAATTTTATGAAAAGATCTAAATTTAGATTTTAATGAAGCAAAGTGCAGAGATTTCATCCTGTCATATTGACTCCCCCATGTCCATGGAATGCGTGTGTGCTTGTGAACAGTAGGGAAGCTTCCAAACTTTTCTGTGTATCACTCAAGCAAATTACCTGTATGGTATAAACTTTATAGAGAACAAATCACTTCACTCCTCTCTTTAAACTAGAGAAGAAAAGGTTTGACAGGCCTGCTGCCATCAGGAAGGTTTTAAGTGTATTCAGGCTTGGAAAAACTGAGAAGGCACATTTGACAGGCAGTGTAATCCTCAGCTTGAAGATATCCACCCTGCTGAACACGTGCACGTGCTCAGCTTTAAATAGATGAGTGGTTCCTGGAAACTTCTCTAGCACTGTCCTTTGCCAGTACCACATACCCAGCACCCAGAAGAGAGACACACAAAAAGCCCCAGGCATATTAGGCAATTAGCTAAATATTGGTGTGTGAAATTAACTTTAGGCAAATGAGAAGCTGAAGTCTGAAAACTCAGGATCTAAACCAAATACCTTTAGATTCTAACCAGACACCAGAGTGCAAATACATGAAGTCACTCAGGTGAGTCAATCAGCCTTGTTGGTGCCAGGTCTGAAACTTCCTGTGCTGGGCTTGGGGAACTCAGAGCATCACCCTGCTACAAATGGGGTGGCAGGGACAGCTCTAGGGGGGCTGACTTATTTTTTTGATGCAACCTCCAAAAGTGCATCTTACTTGGGTGTAACTACTGGAAATAACAGGTTTAATACACATTAAAAAAAAATCTGTTCCCTTTTCCCGTTTTCCTCATCTTTTTCTTCTTTTCCTTATTCTTCTCCTCTGCCTTTCTCTCTTTTAGCTCCTATGAAATGTTTGTTCCATACTAAGGCTAGAAACAAGATTGATATTCACCGGGATGGCTGCTGGCTGCAACTCAAAAAATAAAGAACTGCCTGGGAACACCTCCCACCCCCCACTTTTCATAAGGTCCTTGAATTGTATTACTTTGCTTCTGACACAAATTGGCTTATGTGACATGTCCAATTGCACAGTTTCCTCTGACGTTCTTGGAATCCACAGCTTTATAAACAGGGACACAGAAACACCAAGAAATGTGATTTTATTTACTTGGCACCTCGGAGCATTACACACCTGTGTGGCTGTTTTCAGCCTCAGCTCTTTCTCTCTCAGCCAAGGCTCCTCAGCTGCTGCTGTGCTCCTCACACCATCTCTTCTGGCAGTGACTGTGACTGTGTGGCATAAAATCAGCACATGGATCAGCAGCTAGCTTGGAAAAAGTGGATCTAAGCCATCTCTGAGGGCATGTGGGAGCAAGGAGCAACCTTCTCAAGCTGGTCAGGTGGAACAGAAACCGCTGCCAGCGTTGGTACTGTCAGAGTCCCCTACGAGCTCTCAGCCCCATGTGTTCCCTGCTAACCTGCTGGGGGTTTCCTCACCCTTCACTGGGCACCATGCAGAGGGTGGAATTTTTGTAGCTGAGGCTGGAAGGGACCCATCAAACTCACACAAATAGTCTTGGCACAACTCCAGTGTGACTAAACAAAAGTTGCTGACAGTTTTACCCATCACCATACATTGGAGGGAAAGTGCTCATAAAATCCTACCTTTCTCTACTGAAAGAGCTTCCCTCTCACAGGAGGAGATGCCTTCCTCCCTGCTTACACTGCAGATGGGCTTTGAGGAAGCCTGCTGGGCCATGACCACAGGGGTGTGAAGATCAGGGGCACCAGACCTGATTTTGAGCACAGCATCCACTTCTCCAAGTTGCAGCACGTGAATATGCTCTGGAGAGTGACAGCTACTAAAAACGTTCCCCTTTGACCTTTAAATACTTGCTTGGTTGCCACATGCACATTTAAGTCTGAGATTTAAGTAATAGCTGGGAAAATCTCCTAAAATGTCTCCTAACCCGTTTGGTAGGGAACACAGTGTCTGAGTGCTGTGAGCACAGCCTTTTCAGGAAAAAAACATGATCAGAATTGATGGCAAGTTTGGGTCCAGTTTTGTTATGGCCCTTCATGAATCTCCTCCTTGCTGTTTCATTCCCCTCCTCCCACGAGGGTTACTGATAATATGGTAAATATCACTTTACAATTATGTCTATCTAAAAAAAGGATTAAATATCGTACTTAGACATGAATCTGAAATTTCCACATTATAGCTGTGTGCAGCCCTTTCAGAAAATCCTGCTTCGTAATAAGTTTTGTTTGAAATTCTAATCTTAGCTTAGAGATAGGATGACTTTGCAGGCTTCCAGAGATGTCATGCACTTAGAAAGAGGCTTCCACAGACACACAAAGCCGATAAGCCATATTCGGATAGCATGGATGAACTCTTCCCCAGATGAGCTGGCAGGACATCCATCAAACATGAAAGAGCAGAAACTGCAAACTAAGGGCATCTGTTACCCTGAACGAGCTCTTTTTTTTTTTTTTCTCCCTGCTTCATGCAGGAGCAGCAGGACAAAAATAGTCTTTATCATCAAAATACATGTAACTAGTGCCCCTCATCCAATATAGGTTGCATAGTGAGGTTTGTTTATTACATGCCCTTTCCTGGGACAGGAGTTTATTCTGAGGCTCTGGGAAGAGGAGCCCCACTTTGGGATTATTTGCCTCCCCATGCCATAAGCTAAGGAAAGGCTGCAAGTTGGTTTTCAGGTAGGTTGGACATGGTTACAATAAGCTGTGTTGCCAATTCACTGGGGTGTTCTGTCCCCTGGGTTCTTCCCCTCTCTGACTCACTGGCTATTTCCCTGATGACATTTTTTCTGTGGAAGAACTGGCTGCTGATCCATCTCTTTATGATGATTCTCATTTCCGAGTTTACAGGCCAGAGCAGTTCCTGAATAGGTTGAGTAAACATGTGAATTCTTTGCCTCCTCTGGCTGGTGGAAATGTGGATGCTCCTCTTCCCACTCTTTGCCAAAGATGGAGGCATCAAATGGTGTCTTCCTCTTGCATTCCTCCATTTTTTCCCCATAGGGCTACCTCAAAAACTACACTTAAAATACAAACTATACTCAAACCAGCAAGAGTTCTCTGAATGTCTGAGCTGTTCCCAAACTCAAGAGTGTCTCAGAGCGAGATCTGCTAATCTGCTCCTCAGTGACCAGGCACAGCTCTGTACGTTCCTTGGTGTCATTGCCCTCTTCCTTCTGCTCAGTCTCATCTCAAGTTTCCAAATGACATTTGGATTTTAACTCCTGTGGACCAGGGATTTCCTCACTAAATGTTATCTCAAAATGTCTAATACCCGATTTTTTTAAAAACATCTTCCACTGCAAAGTCATTTGTCCAAGTCTTTCAGGAAGAATTTCCTCACTGAAAGGGTGGTCAAGCATTGGTATGGGCTGCCCAGGGAGGTGGTCGAGTCTCTCCCCCTGGAAGTGTTCAAGAAATGACTAGATGTGGCACTCAGCTGACGAGGTGGTGTTCAGTCAAAAGTTGGACCTGATGATTTTGGAGATGTTTTCCAACCTAAATCATTCTGTGATTCTTCCATGGCAGGATTTGGGCTCGTGTCGGGCAGCACCTCCCTCCCACCCAGTGCTCAGGTGTGGTTTGGGCATGGGATGCCCTGAGCATTGTCCAAAGACTGTTGTAAATGTTCAGGATGGACAAAGCAACCTTATTTTGGGATAGCTGTGGGTTTAGACACAGGGATGCTCCCACAGATGGGCAGTTTCACTTTTCCCATTTTATTTGGCTTTGTAGGTAGAGCCTAAAGATTGGATCAAGGAACAGGTAAAACTGCTCCCCGCAGCAAAAAGACAGAAACTAAGAGAGGGATAACTCCTACTGCTGGGATAAATTAGAGCTGCCATTTCTCCTTTTCTTCTGGTGGTATCTGGAGGAACAAAGCCAGGTGTTGAGGGCAGGGCTTTTCATTCCATCTCCTTGTCCAAACTGTGCTTATTCCTCTTGTGCAGCAGCAACCATAAAGCTTATGACTGGCTTCAGCCTAAGATGAGAACAATAGAATTTTTTCTCCTCTTTTGGGAAGCCCAGAACTGGCTCAGTGGGCCATACTACCACCTGAAAGGGATTTTTATTTTTCTTCTGGTTTGGGAAATGGAATTTTTTTGCCTTTCCCTCTTTGTGTTTCCAGTACCCCTTTCCCATAAGT